TGGGGTTCCCCGACCTAGATCTGAGGAGCGACCCGAAAAGCAGAGCCCCTGCTGGACCCAAAACGATCCTTATCTCAACGTCATAAATGTGCGGCAAGCTGGTGTCATGACGACGACGGCGATGGTTTCCGACACCGCGTGAATCGTTCCAGTCGGGAAGATCGAAAGGGTGGGATAGCAAAGAGTAGGGCAGAGAACCGACTCACGCAGCTGGCTCTCATGGCGCCGGGAGGCACCTATGTATCGTGGAATGGGCCCGGCGGCGGGGCGGAAACCAGCTGCATGCAGCAGATTTCGTACCGACCCTCTTTCCAATCGGACCTGTCTCAGCATGGGGGGTGACGGGTCCGACCACGTGCGCCTCCTGCGCCCGTTTTCCGACCGTCCTGCAGCCCGTGGAGGGCCCCGCGAGCCCGACAACGGCGAGAAACCTCAGGGCCCGTTGGAGGAGGAGGAGGAGGAGGAGGAGGAGGAGGAGGAGGAGGAGGAGGAGGGGGAGGAGGAGGAGGGGGAGGAGGAGGAGGAGGAGGAGGAGGAGGAGAGGAGGAGTGAGGAGGGGGAGGAGGGGGAGGAGGGGGAGGAGGAGGATTTCCTAGTTCCCTCTCATGGTGCCAAGCGGGAGCCCCGTGGGAAGCCGCGGCGACTGGCGCCCCAAAGACCACCTGGGCGACGACGATAGACGGGTCTTGAGCGAGATGATATGGCGCTCTTACGCGGTGGCTCACGCGGACCAACACAGGGCGACGAGATCTATACATATCCACTGCTCCTGGCCAGGTCCATCCTGGGCCCAGGAGCGGTGTATACGCCCTCCTGGTTTGGCTAGGGAGGCATATACACCGCTCCTGGGCCCAGGATGGACCTGGCCAGGAGCAGTGGATATGTATAGGGCTCGTCGCCCGTACAGCGTGGCACGCCGTGTGGATACAAGAATGAGCTGGCAGCGTTGTGCTGTCGGTCTGTGCCCATTCTTCGAACAGGGGGTCGACTAGACTACAACATCGACTTGCCCCAAGCTTGCTCGTTCGTCGGAAGAAGCAGAGAACGTCGAGGGTTCGTAGGTCTCCGAGCATTCTACGCCTCTTTCCCCACAGAGTCGGCGGACGCTTCAATTCTGGGGTTCATCATTTCTCTGGTCGATCCCCTACTCGAATTCTTTCCGCTCGCATCTTCGAGGTCGCCTTTCGGCGACTCCGAAAAATATGGTTTGCAAAGGCTGTGGTTTGCAACCGGCACCCTGGGGGGCACCCTGGGGGGCGGGCGAGGACCTCGACAGAGCTCTCCGCCGCGCCCCGAGGAGGCCCGACGAAGACAGTGGCGTGCCCCCCAGGCTCCAACAGTGCCGATCGCAGACCACACCCTGGCGCAACCATACCCTTTCCACCCAGACATCTGGCGTCTCGATTTTTTCGAGACGCGGGCCCCCGACCTCTCGACCACTTCCCTGGGACCAGATTTTCATCCCGAGTCGTATTTTGACGGTCCCGAGGTCCAGTAAGGGCCCCGAGAGGCCGAAAACGATGAAAAACCTCTGCCTCGATTTTTTCGAGACGCCAGATGTCTTGGTAGTCGCCGACGCCCTGGAGCCATCCGACGCGCCGCGGGCCCGCCGCGACTGCGCGTCGGGCCGGCCCGGCCGGGGCCCGGCCCGTGGGGCCGCTCCCAGGGCCGGGGGCTGGCCAGGTCCGCCCAGAGGGTCCAAGGCCCCGCGGGGGCGGCCAAGACGGGGGCGTCCGAGAGGGAAGGGTGCAAATCATGGCCAGCGGCATGTGGCCTTCGGGGGGCCTCCTCTCTTCCTCTCCTCCTCCTCCCCCTCCTCCTCCTCCTCCTCTTCCTCCTCCTCCTCCTCCTCCTCCTCTTCCTCCTCCTCCTCCTCCTCCTCTTCCTGCTCCTCCTCCTCCTCCTCCTCCTCCTCCTCCTCCGCCTCCTCTTATTCCCTGGCCGGGGGGGGGGGGCCAGGGACGTCATGGAATAAGAGGAGGCGCCTGAGGAAACAGGAGGAGAAGGAGGAGGAGGGGGAGGAGGAGGAGGACGAGGAGGAGAAGGAGGAGGAGGGGGAGGAGGAGGAGGAGGAGGAGGAGGGGGAGGAGGGGGAGGAGGAGGGATAGAGTACTGCCTCTGAGCGGGCCAGCGGCGCCACACCGCACACGCCGTCTTTCCACAACGCCAAAACCGCATGTGCGGCTTTTCTCACTGTGAGGCGTTGGACCCTCCAGGGGGGGGGGTCAATGTCTATATCCACATCCAGTGCGTCTTTGAAGGGGCCCCAGGACACACAAATAAATACACACAAATAAACAGATGCCCTACATTTTCGCATATGTTCAGGGTTTCTGTCTTCCCCCCCACTTCCCATATTTTCCCATATTTTCTGCGGAATCGCCAATTAATTGTGTCTGTGTGTTTTTTCCCCTCCTGAGTCTTGGAGTTTCGGGCTCTCTTCCCCAACAACATGAGGCGCACTGGATACATGGATTCGAATCTGGCCCCCAAAAGGCTACCTCTTGTCCACATCCAGTGCACCTCGGCCTTGCGGCTCTCCTTCTAAAAAAGTCCAAGACGTACTGGATATGGATAGAATGATTGCCCGCACTGGGAAGGGGGCCAAGGCCCCTCTCCCCCCTCTCCCTCCCGCCCCCCGCCAGGGGATAGAATACTGCCTCTGAGCGGGCCAACAACGGCGCCACAGCGCACGCCGTCTTTCCCACGCCAAAGCCGCATGCGGTTTTTTTCACCGAGACGTCGTTGGACCCTCCGGGCGGGGGGGGGTCGGGGCCGCTGCACGGGCGACGCCCCCCTGCAGGCCTGTGCTGGGGGGCGATGCAGCGCGCCACGCTGTCCGCCGGTGGCCTCGCGCGCCGCGGCGGGCGACGTCGGCGACGGCGGCGGCGGCGGGCGGGCGCCGACGAGGCTCGGAGGAGCGCCCGCCGAGACGACGGCGGCCTGGCCCAGCGTTGCCCGTGCTTTTTCCTGTGTGTGTGGGTGTGTGTTTGTGTTTGTTTGTGTTTGTGTGTGTGCTTGTGTGTGTTTGTGTGTCTGTGTTTGTTTGTGTGTGTGTTTTTGTGTGTGTGTTTTTGTGTGTGTGTGCGTGTTTGTGTGTTTGTGTTTGTGTTTGTGTGTGTTTTTTTGTGAGTGTGTGTGTGTGTGTGTTTGTTTTTTGTTTGTCGGGGAACGGGTCGGGATGGGCCGGGGGGCGCGCCGGGCCCGGGTCGGCCCAGGCCCTGCCGGGAAGCCAAGGCCGGCTGCTCACAAGCTCCCAAGTCTTACCAGCCTCGAACGTATCCCTATCCCTAAGATGGACACGCCAGAAAGCGATGACAATCTTAGGGATTCGCCCTCAAAACAAGAGGGAACCCCTAAGATTGGCATCGCTGGTAAAAGTCCGGGCCAGCGGAGGTCGGAGGGGGGGAGCCGGCCCCACTGTTTGAGCAGGGACCGACCGTCCAAGCCCACCACAAAATTCTCTCAGAACCGGAAAGTGTCCCAATGACAGAAGCGATGTCACGGTCCCGGCCAGAAATGTTCTAAGAACACTTCGTGCAGACCACAGACAGTTCTTAGAGCATTCTGTGGCGGGGCCATAGGCGAGCCAGGACGCTTCGCCACCGCTTGACACGTGGCCCCCACACCAGGGTGAGCCATGGGGGATTGGCCGACCCCTTTTGAGCTCTGGGATGGAACCCCGGAGGGGTCGGGGGACCGATGCCAGAGGAGCTGGGCCAGGCGGCAAAGCCGCCAGCTGTTGCCTCGACTGGCGGTCCTCCGAGAGAGACGACGGCGGCGGCGACGACCGCGCCCGCGAGGGCGGCGGCCGCGGCGGCGACCACGACGATGACGACGAGCGGCGACGAGCAGCGACGAGACGGACGGCGAGACGGACGACGACGGCGACCGTGATGGCTGCGGCGGCGGCTGCGAAAGCGGCTGCGGTGGCCACTGCGACGGCCGCGACGGCGACGGCCGCGGCGGCGGCCGCGGCGGCGGCCGCAGCAGCCACGACAGGTGGCGGCAGGGGCCCCAGACACGGGGCGGCTGGATCGTGTTCGACGGGGGGCGTCCGCAGTCCCGGCCGATCCCCCAGGGCCAGTGCGTCACCTCGAGCCGTTCTGTGACCGCATGAACAGCGCCCCCCGCCCCCCCCACACGAGGAACGTTCGATCAAGTTGACCGTCAAACGACGCGCAAACTACAAGCGGAAACAGCTCGACGGTCACGAGGATCTCCGCCCGACTCGCCGAGCTCCTCGGATGCCCTCGCTGTCCGCGCGAACCGAACGTGGCCTGGCGTGCCTCCATGCCCGGTGCTGCCTATAGCGGGGCGCCTCACTTGGGCTGCCTCTTCCACGGCGGCGTGGGCCGCCGCTCGCTGGCGTCGCCGGCCGCGGCGGGCTTCTTCTTTTTTGCCCTTGGTGACCACGGCGAAGCCATCGTCCCAATGTCAAACCAACGACAGCGCCGCGCAATGTCATGCGAACGGCGCGCTGCTGTTGTGCACATCGGCGATTGAGCTCGGCGTTCGACCGTCCGGGGGCCTGGCGAGGTGCCCCCCCGCCCCCAGAGGCCCAAGACGGCCCAAGGCTAGCGCCAGCATGTTTCTCTCAAGGGGCCCTGAGACACACAAATAAAGACACACACACACACCTCCCAGGATTCCCCATATTGTTCCATAGTTCCTGGATTCTCGTTTTCCCCCCCGATTGTCCGTATTTTCCCATAGGATGTCCTGGCAATCTGCGATTCATCGTGTCTGTGTGTTTTCCCTTCCTGGTTCACGACGCGAACACGCCTGGGACTACTGAAGGAGCCCCAGGACACACGAATAAATACACACAAATAAACAGATTCCCCTATCTTTTTCCTATATTTTCTGTGTTTTTGTCTTCCCCCCCACTTCCCATACTTTCCCATATTTTCTGGGGAATCGACGACTAATTGTGTCTGTGTGTTTTTTTCTCCCCTCCTGAACTACGCTACGCACCGACGTCGCCGTTCGCAAGTGGCCTCGTGAGCTGCGAGAGCTCGGACTCGAACCGCATCACGGAGTCCACCACGTCCACCAGGCACCCCTGCCAGGGGTAGACGGGCCCACAAGGGAAGACCAGAAGGGAAGGTTAGGAGTGACGAGCCTCAAACGTACCTATCGGTCGGACGAGGTCGGTCGAAACATGAAGTAGGGAGGCGGATCAAGTAGATTGGGCTCGGGCCCGCCCAGAGAGCAACAACACGCAGCAAAAGCAGATCGATTCTCGAAGTAGGAAGGCGCTCGAAGTCGATTGGGTCCTGGGAGTTCGAAAATACCTACGTTCAACGACCGGTGGGTGTCCTTACCCCCAAGATTGACAAGCCAAAAGGCAATGCCGACCTCAGGGATGCGCCCTCGAGGACCGAGGGAATCCTTGAGATCGGCATCGAGACGCGGCGATGCCAGTCATAGTGATGGGGAGAACCTGGTCCAGGCTGGTGCTGGAGGTGAGCAGGAGGGAAAGGAGAAGGGCGAGGTGGAGCAGGAGAATCGGGTCGGGCGAAAGGGGGGGATAGCAAAGGGGGGGTTTGAGAATCAGCTCACGTAGCTGATTTTCCCGGCGCCGGAGGCGGCTATGTATCGAAGAATGAGCCCATCCGTGGGGCCGAGACCAACTGCATGCAGCAACTTTCGTAACCCCCCCTTTCCCAGTCCCCCCCTTTCGTCCGACCCGAGAGAAGGGGGGGGGGCGGAGCGGAGCGGAGCGGGCACGTGCGCGCGGGGGGGGGCGGCCCAGCGCGGGGGGGGGGCCCCAGCGCGCCGGAACTAGGAGCTGGCCGTAAACCGTCAATCAGGTTACCGCGGGGACCCCCGTAGAGCTCCCAACGCGCGCAAATCGGCGCCCAGATGACGAGGAGAGAGCGTTCCCGAATGTCAGCTTCAGAACTCGTAAAAAATATATTTTTGGGGGGGTTTTACGCGGGCGGGGCCCGGAGGGCCCGCGCGGGCGGGCCTGGGGCGCCCGAGCCGCGCGCGGCGCGGGAGAGATGCTTCGGCGGGGCCGCTCCGCCGCGCGAGGCCCCGTGCGGGTGCAGGCACACCGTCGCGCCCGGCTGCAGCGCAGTGGGCAGCTCCCGTGCCAGCTGCACCCGCGGATGGCCTCCGATGGCGTCTCGAGGGCGCTCCTCGCGCGCCAGAGTGGCGCTGGATTCGGGCCGGACGAAAGGGGGGGATTGGGAAAGGAGGGTTACGAAAGTTGCTGCATGCAGCTGGTTTCGGCCCCACGGAGGGGCTCATTCTTCGATACATAGCCGCCTCCGGCGCCGGGAAAATCAGCTACGTGAGCTGATTCGCAAACCCCCCCTTTGCTATCCCCCCCTTTCACCCGACCCGATGGATAGCGCCTGATGGCCTTCGGCCATGGCCCACTCGAACGATGTCACGCAGGATGCCCTGCGCTAAGTGCAAACACCGTCGTGCACTGCTTGAGGGGTAGAAGGAGGAGAGAGAAGATTCTAGAACGCGGCGCGGCCAGCCTGCGCCGCAGCCTTCGCCGTCATCGCCGCCGCCGTCCCCGAGATCCGACGGCGCGAAAAACATATCCTGGCGAAAACCCTAACCATACGCAGTTGTGAGTACCGCAAGGCTGTGGATCCTGTTCGGTGGAGCTCCCCATGGGGACACGGAACGGGGGTGGCGCGGACGCATGTGGACACCGCCACTGGTTTAGCAGGGACCGACCGTCCCGGCATTCCTATAGGCCTACCACGAGATGATCGTTCGTAGAACCCAAAAATGTTCTAAGAACAAGAATCACTGTTCTTAGAACATAAACCCGATGTGTTCAAACAAGACAGTTCCAGCAAGACATGGTCTGAGAACATTCCGTTGGAACCACAAAGGGTTCTTGGAATTGCTTTGTTTGGTAGGCCTATAGGCGAGCCAGGACGCTTCACCACTTGGGCGCCCGAGTTATCTGGGGTAACTCGGGTCCGGGGTAACTCGGGTTCGGATTCCCGAAAAGGGAACCCGAGTTAGCCCTGACCCGAGTTACCCCTGATGATGTGGGGCTCTGGACGCCCGAATTATCCGGGGTAACTCGGGCCCAGGGTAACTCGGGTACGGAATCCCGAAAAGCGAGTTACCCCTGATGATTCGGGGCTCTGAGCCACTGCTTTGAACTGGGGCCTTCGGTGGCACTCCCCATGGGGCCACGAGACGTGTGAGGGCTGTGCCGACATGGGTGGCGCGGACGCCTGCGGGCCTTCGGTGGAGCTCCCTTTAGGGGCCACGCCCGGTGGAGTCCGTGCCGACACCGCTGGCGCGATGACTTTTGCTGCAGCCCTCCCCTGCGAAGTCCGGCGCGCTGGGGCCGGCCTCTCGCGCCGCGGGCGCGAGCGCGAGCGCGCCCGTTAGGGGGCCACATGCGAACCCTGCCCCTACCCCCCACGGTTTCTGAGGGGGAGGGTGGGCTGCATTTCATTCGGGAGCTCCCGAACGAAGTGAACCCCACCCTCCCCCTCAGAAATCGTGGGGGGAGGGGTATGGTTCGCACGTGGCCCCCACCCGTGGGCGCGCGGCGCGCCCACCGCCTCAGCTCGCCGCCGTCTTCTTGCGGGCCGGCGCGGTCGTGCCGGAGCGGAAGCCGTTCTTGAAGCGGCGGGGCATGGCCTTAAGTCGGGCCTGTCCCCTTACAGGGGGATCTTAGGCGAAAAATAACAAATACCCCAAACATATGTCAAAATTGTGAACAAATACGGAAGAAATACTCCCCGGACTATTTTTTGGCTACGTTTGAATTTTCCTCCTGTAGATGGACACGCCCGGCTTAAGCATGGTCTTCAGGTGCTTCATGCGGCCCGTGCCCGGCGCGCGGCGGCGCTTGGACTTCTTGGACCACTCGTAGGAGCGGATCTTGGCGGCGGGGTAGCCGCAGGCCGCGCAGCGCTTCTTCTGCAGGTGGAAGGAGCGCTTGCCGCAGCGCGGGCAGAGGCCGTGGCTCTTCTTGTGCTTCTTGCCCATGGCCGGGGTGCCGTCGCCGCCGCCGCGGAGGCGGGCCACGGCGAAGAGCGTCGACCCGTCCTCGACGCCGCAGGCCGCGAGGGTGCTGCCGGCGCTGAGGTCCTGGCCCGCGAAGACGAGCGCGTGCTGCCCGAGGCTGCCCACGAGGTCCCCCGCCGCGGCATCGCACGCCACCGTGTCGCCCTCGAGCGTCCTGACGAAGATCTGCATGGCTGCTGGGCGGCCTCTCCCGGGCACTGCCGACGGCTGGGGTCGGGCTCCACGAGCTCCGCAGCTCTCGGCCTTGAGCCGAAATAGCGGACGACGGTGATGACGGTGGCGGCCACGATGGAACTAATGACGATGACCATGACGATGACGATGATGATGCTGCTGATGATGATGATGCTGATGCTGATGCTGATGCTGATGCTGATGCTGCTGATGATGATGATGATGATGGCGAAAACGACGACGTTAATGATGATGACGATGATGATGATGATGATGATGATGATGATGATGACGATGATGATGATGATGCTGAACACGAGGATGATCATGATGACGATGACGATGATGCTGATAATAATGATGATGATACTGATGACGATGACAACGATGATAATGATGACGATGACGATGACGATGCCGATGACGATGATGATGATGATGATGATGATGATGATGTTGATGATGCTGATGCTGATGCTGATGCTGATGCTGATGCTGATGCTGATGCTGATGATGATGATGATGATGATGATGATGATGATGATGATGATGATGATGATGAGAGGAGGGATAAGGGGGGAGGAAGGAAGGGACGCGGGCCGCTGTGTCTTCAAAACGAATACCCAGCACCACAAGATGGTTGGGAATTGAAACCTCGCGGAAAATCACCACCATCCTAGACCCAATCTTTCTGTGCCATTGTTCGAGCCGCATTGTGTTGTCTGCAGGGCCCTAAAGCCCGAGACCTGGCAAGAAGGCCTGGCCCCAAGAAATTGGAACGCCAGGATCCATTGCCGCGGTCGTCGCCACCGCGGACGCCGCCCTCGCCATCGGCGGCGCCGCCGCAGCCGACGCCGCCAACGACGCCGGCGCCGACGCCGCCGTCGCCGTCGCCGTCGCCGTCGAGGCCGCCGCCGCCCGCCGTCATGGTCGTCGTCGACATCGTCGCCGTCGACGCCGAAAGCGCCGCCAGCAGTGCGTCGCCGTCGTCGTCGGCGGCGGCGGCGTCGCCGTCGTCGTCGCGGCCGCCGTCGTCGTCGTCGCCGCCGACGGCGCCGCCGGCCGTCCGTCGCCGTCGCCGCCGCGGCCGTCGCCGCCGCGGCCGTCGCCGTCGCCGTCGCCGTCGCCGTCGCCGCCGCCGCCGCCGGCGTCGTCGCCGCCGTCGCCGACGTCGTCGCCGTCGTCGTCGCCGTCGTCGGCGTCGTGGTCGTCGTCGTCTTCGTCGTCGTAGTCACCGTCGACGTCATCGTCGCCGTCCTCGTCGTCGTCGCCGTCGTCGTCGTCGCCGCCGTCGCCGCCGAGGGCGCCGCTGGCCGTCCGTCTCGGCCGCCGCCGTCAGCGTCGTGGCCTTCGTCGTCGTCGTCATCGTCGTCGTCTTCGTCGTCGTCGCCAACCCAACCGTCGCAACCGCCGTCGTCGTCGTCGTCGTCGTCGTCGTCGCCGTTGTTGACGTCGTCGCCGTCCGAACCAGTCGTCGTAATCGCCGTCGACGTCGTCGTTGTCGCCGTTGTTGACGTCATCGCCGTCCGAACCAGTCGTCCTAATCGCCGTCGTCGTCGTCGCCGTCGTTGACGCCGTCGCCGTCCGAACCAGTCGTCGTAATCGCCGTCGTCGTCGTCGCCGTCGTTGACGTCATCGCCGTCCGAACCAGTCGTCGTAATCGCCGTCGTCGTCGTCGCCGTCGTTGACGACGACGCCGTCCGAACCAGTCGTCGTAATCGCCGTCGTCGTCGTCGCCGTCGTTGACGTCGTCGCTGTCCGAAGCAGTCGTCGTAATCGCCGTCGTCGTCGTCGTCGCCGTCATTGACGTCGTCGCCGTCCGAACCAGTCGCCGTCGTCGTCGTCGTCGCCGTCGTCGTCGACGTCGTCGTCGTCGGCGTCGGCGTCGTCGGCGTCGTTTCCGTAGTCGTCTTTGACGTCGCCGTTGTCGCCGTCGTTGCCGTCGCCGCCGAAGGGGCCGCCGCCCGTCTGTCGTTGTCGTCGTCGATGGCGTCTCCGCCGCCGCCGTCCCCGTCGTGGCCGCCGTCGTCGTCGCCGTCGCCGTCGCCGTCGTCGTCGCCGTCGCCGTCGCCGTCGAAGGTGCCGCTGGCCGTCGCCGTCGCCTCTTCGGGGGCCGCCAGCCGTCCTGCGCGGCGTCGCCCACGCTCGCGCCGGCCAGGCGCTCCAGGTGCCCCGCGATGCCCGACCTCGCCAGCACGACGTGCATGGACAGGGCCGCCGCCTCGGGGGCGGCGCGGCGCGCGGCGCCCCGCGCGCGAGAAGAGCGCGGCGCCGCGCTGTGGGCGTCGCTCTGGGCGTCGGCGTCGCCCGGGGCAGTCCGCCGTCGTAGGCGCCGTCGTCGGCGTCGCAGCCGTGGTCGCTCTGAGCATCGGCGTCGGCGTCGGCGGCCTCGTGGGCGTCGTCGTTTCAACCGTCGGGGTCGTGGTCGGCGGCGGCGCCGCTGCGCTGCACGCTGCTCCCGCCCCGCCGCTTCCCCTGTCCCTCCTCTCCGTCCTTCTCTTCCCGCTCCCCCTCCTCCTTGAAGCACCTGCCCAAACCAGACCGAAGACACAACTGACGACGACGACGACGGCGACGCTGGCGACGGCGAGGGCGACGGCGACGGCGGACGAGCGACGACGACGACGACGGAACCGACCACAACGACGACGACGACGACGGGCGGAGTAGCCTCGTCGTTCCCAGGCGAGGGCGCAGCCGCGGGCAGGCACGTGGACAGCTCGTCGCCGTCCTGAAGGTGGAGGAGGCGAAGAGGAGGAGGAGGAGGAGGAGGAGGAGGAGGACGAGACGGAGGGCGAGGAGAAGAAAAGAAAACGAAGGCCGAAGAGGGCCCCAAGGCTTGGCAAAGAAAGGAGGAGGAGGAGAAGGCGAGGAGGAGGAAGAAGAGGCGGAGAAAGGGGAGAACAAAAAGGAGAGGGAGGACGTGGAGGAGGAGGAGGAGGAGGAGGAGGAGGAGGAGGAGGAGGAGGAGCAGGACTGTGAGCGACGAAGGTCGCGAAGCGAGTTCGGTGGATTACGGAGCCCGACGAGCCCAGTCTGCTCGGCTGCGGACCTTGGGCCAGCGCCCTGCGAGAACAGTGGCAAGAAATATGGCTCGAATGGGCTTCGTGGCCTCATGGCACGTTTGCCCGAGGCCTCTTAAGCGCTGACTGGCGAAGTGCACACACAAGCAACAAAACCACAACTCAAGCCTCTTTTGTAAACGCATCCGATGGCTACTGTACACCAGCCCCCCCTGCCATATGCAGATGTATCCCTATTGGCAGCCCAAACAGAACCCAGTCAATCTTACTGGGTTCAAGCCGCGGCCAGTTTTTCCTCACGGCACGAATGGCTAGGGTAGCGGAGCTACAACACTGGAGAAGTCTGCGTCCACAATCTGCTAAGAATCGGGTAGTTGCGAAAATTCGTACAGCCGAGGGAGCGGGGAAGGGGTTGGCCGCTCAGATTTCCTCCTGGGCCCATGTCCCGCAAGCTCCTTCTCAGTCCAGGGTATCATTATCATGACGCGCGGACCTCACATCCTCGGGGGTTCGGGCACGATCGGCAGTAGCCCTGGCGAGAATATCGGAATTCGTGTTCCCTTGCACCATCCATGCTGGAGCGGTGCATCTGGAAAGCTCCTGCACTGTCAAATGTGAGTTGGTGAACAACACAACAAATGATGCCTCATCCCGTTCACGAAACTGCACGCCGACCTGCAACCACAAATCAGCATCTGGTTGTTTTCGTTGTCCCTCTGCTTCCCCTTCGCTCCGCTCTGCCTTTGTTGCGAAACGAAACCAAAACGAAAATGGTCCACGAAATCGCCCAAACACCGTTTAGCTCGCGCGATGCCCCCTCCCCCTCCCCCTCGTCTCTGGTGGCGACGATGAACACGGCGACAACGAGAAAGACCGGATGGATAAGGAAGGAGGAGAAGGAGGGATAGGAGAAGGGAGCGGAAGAGCGACAGATGTTGAAGCGGGAGGAAAGGAGAGACAAAAGAGGGGAGTGGGAGCAGAATCGCAAGGCGGTGGAGAGGCAGCCTCCCTCCTCCAGTGGCTCCTCCTCCTCATCCTCCTCCTCCTCCTCCTCCTCCTCCTCCTCCTCCCCCTCAGCCCATCAGCCTTCCTCCTCCTCCTCCTCCTCCCCCTCCTCCTCCTCCTCCTCCGCCTCCTCCTTCCTCCTCCTCCTCCTCCTCCTCCTCCTCCTCCTCCTCCTCCTCCTCCTCCTCCTCCCCCTCCTCCCCTTCCCTCCCCCCCACCGACGACGAGTAGCTACGACGACGGCGACGCGGCACTGCCGTCGCCGCCCACCGGGCGGCTGCCGGAGCCTCCGCGCGCCGAGGGCCGCCGAAGACCGCCGAGGGCCGCCGAGGGCCGCCGAGGGCCGCCGAGGGCCGCCGAGGGCTGCCGAGGACCGCCGAGGGCCGGGAAGGGCCGCCGAGGACCGCCGAGGGCTGCCGAGGGCCGCCGAGGACCGCCGAGGACCGCCGAGGGCAGCCAAAGGCCACCGAGGGCCGCCGAGGGCCGCCGAGGACCGCCGAGGGCCGGGAAGGGCCGCCGAGGGCCAGCGGCGGCGGTCCTGCATCACCGCCCCTTCGAAGATCAACTTCTGCTCCGATGCCGGCGATCCGGTGATGCGCGCGACCCGGGCCTTGATGTCCGAGATCCTGCGTGTTGGCATATGTCCGATGAGTGTACACGTGCATACACACATACAGCGCTCTGCATACATGGATCGCATCTCTCTCTCTCTCTCTTTCTCTCTCTCTATATATATAGATATACTAGAACCACGCGCGCTTCGCGCGCGCTTAGGTTGTAGTCACTCCCGCGACCACGCTGAACACCGCCCATGCCGCCACGGCTACCACCGCCCTTTCCGCCATCACCGCGGTCACGACCACTTCCGATTGCATGTCAATTCTGGGCATGACCACCCCATCCACGACGATTGCACTTTCCGCGACCACTATAACGGCCAGTGGTTCAACCTCTGCCTGTACCACCACCAATACCACTACCGTTGCCACTGCCACTGCCGCGAATCCAGGCCCATCTCCCCCACCTCGTCCCAGTCTGGGGCGCCAACTCGGGGCGTTCTTGGGCGGGTTGGGCGCCTCGGGGGCCGTTTTGGCCCCCTCGTGGGCCGTCTTGGAGCCCTCTTGAGGGCATCCTCGACCGGCTTGGGTGCCTCTTGGGCCGTCTTGGACGCAGTGGAAGCGCAAAAGGAGAACACGCCCAACATATTTGTTTTCCCATAGGAAATCGACCATGTTTGCTTATGTGGGGCTCCATTGGGGTGGCCCTTTGGGCGTGTTCGGGGCCTCTTTTTGTGTTTTTGCTGGTCTCTTGGGGACCTCTTGGGGCTTGTGGGCCCCTTCTTGGAGCTTCGTGGGGTCTCCTGGGGGCCTCTTCGGCCAAATTGCTCGTATTTTCGGTTCCTCGTCCCCGTCTTGGGCGACAGTTTGGGGCGTTCTTGGGTGGTTTAGGCGTCTCGTGGGCCGTCTTGGAGCCCTCTTCAGGCCAGCCTCGACCGTCTTGGGTGCCTCTTGGGCCGTCTTGGACGCAGTGCAAGCCCAAAAGGCGAACGCGCCAAAAATTATCAGTTTTCTCATAGGATATCTACGATGTTTGCATATTTGGGGCTCTATTGGAGTGCCTTTTGGGAGCCTCCTCAACGCCTCTGAGGCCGAAAGCTCGGAATTTGAATATGGTTGTGCACCTCTGGGACCCCTCTGGGGCTCGTCCTGGGGCTCTCTTGGGCTGTCTTGGGGGCCTCTCGGGCCATCTTGGGACCCTCTTGGGCGCCGACTGGGGGCGTTCTTGGGCGGTTTGGGCGCCTCGTGGGCCGTTTTGGCCCCCTCGTGGGCCGTTTTGGGACCCTCTTGGGGCATCCTCGACCGGCTTGGGTGCCTCTTTGGCCGTCTTGGACGCAGTGAAAGCACCAAAGGCGAACGCGCCAAAAATAGCAGCTTCCCCATAGGAAAACTACGATTTTTGCTTCCTGGGCCACTCTTGGGGTGCCCCTTGGGCCGTCTTCGGAGCCTCTTTTGGTATGTTTTCAAATCTCATGGGGGCCTCTTGGGGCGTGTGGGCCCCTTCTTGGAGCCTCTTGGGGTCTCCTGGGGGTCTCTTGGACCGAGAAGCCATAATTTCCGGTTCCTTGTCCCCGTCTTGGGCGCCGGTTTGGGGCGTTCTTGTGCGGTTTGAACGCCTCGTGGGCTGTCTTGGCCCCCTCGTGGGCCGTTTTGGAGCCCTCTTGGGGGCAACCTCGACCGGCTTGGAAATCGGCGACGTTTGCTTATTGGGGAACTATTGGGGTGCCTCTTGAGGCGTGTTCAGGGCATCTTTTTGTGTATTTGCAGGTCTCTTGGGGACCTCTTGGGGCTTCTTGGGCGCTTCTTGGAGTTTCGTGGGGTCTCCTGGAGGCCTCTTTGGCCAAACAACTCACATTTTCGGTTCCTCGTCCAAGTCTTGGGCGCCGGTTTGGGGCGTTCTTGGGTGGTTTAGGCGTCTCGTGGGCCGTCTTGGCCCCCGTCGTGGGCCGTCTTAGAGCCCTCTTGAGGGCATCCTCGACCGTCTTGGGTGCCTCTTGAGCCGTCTTGGACGCAGTGGAAGCCCAAAAGGCGAACGCGCCAAAAATATCAGTTTTCCCATCGGGAACCTACGATGTTTTCATATTTTGGGCTCTATTGGGTGCCTCTTGGGAGCCTCCTGCGGGTCTCTTTGGAGACTCTTGGGGCCTCCTTGGGGGCCTCTTGGGGCCTCCTGGGGACCTCTTGGTGCCTCCTCAGAGCCTCTGGGGCCGAAAGCTCGGAATTTGAATCTGGTTGTGCACCTCTGGGACCCCTCTGGGGCTCGTCCTGGGGCTCTCTTGGGGGCCTCTCGGGCCATCCTGGGACCCTCTTGGGGTCGTCTGGAGGCCCTCTTGTGAGCTTGTGGGGCAGTCTTGGGGGCCTCTTCGGCTGTCTTGGACGCAGTGGAAGCCCAAAAGGCGAACACGCCACAAATATCAGTTTTCCCATCGGAAATCGACGATGTTTGCTTATTGGGGCTCTCTCGGGGTGCCTCTTGGGGCGTGTTCGGGGCCTTCGGGGACCTTCTTGGCGTCATGGGAGTCGTTGGGAGTCGTCTTGAAAGGCGTCTGGAGCCATCGCTGCCGCCTCTTGGGGCCTCCCTGCAGCCTCTTGGGGCCCTGTTGGCCCCAGGTCGCCGAAACTCTTTGAAAACACATGGAAAACGACGCCCCGTCCCCCCATGCGCTGACGAGGTCCAGGTTCTGGGTCCCCGGGCCTCGTGCACGGGGATATACACACATCTATATATATATATATATATACACATGTGTTTTTGTGTTGTTGTATGTATGCGTGTATGTTATGAATGTGTATATATATATATATACATATACATCATCGGACGTGTGGGAGTGCGATGGCAGCGTTCTCGTGTTCGTGTCGTGCGTGCGGGGCAAAGCTGCGTGGGCGGGCGAGAAGAATGAACCCTTCTGTGGCTAGGGCTCCGCCGGGCCAAAAGACCGCCACTCCCCCCGGTTGGCCAGCGGTGGCAAAGGGTGTCCCGCCGTGGTGTCCCGATGGTGTCCCGTGATAACCCGTGGTGTCCCGCGGTGGGCCGCTGGTGTCCCGTCGTGAGATTGACAGTGTGGTCGATGGTGATACCAGATCGACAGTGAGATCGATAGTGAGATCGGCAGTGAGATCGATAGTGAGATCGATCGTGTGACCGGTCATGCTATCGATAGTGGGATATATCGTTATGTCGATAGTGCGATTGTTAATGAGAGGGAGAGTGAGATCGACTGTGAGATCGATACTGGTCCGATTGAGTGGGACGTTGGATCCTCCCCCCGAAACCTCCTCATCACCCGAAGGGTGGTCGTCTAGTGCTCACATATATATATATATATATATACACACCTATATATCTATACATATATATATGAGTGAGGGGGCCGAACCGTCATTCATTATCCCTGGGTGCGTGGCTGAAGTGAGAATCCGTGGTGAGGATTCTGCTTGTTGCGTTGTTGTTGTTGATGATAGTGTTGTTGTTTGTTGTCGTAGTCCCCCCCGCGACCCACCCGCGACCCACCCCGCGACCCACCCCGCGACCCACCCGCGACACACCTGCGACCCACCCCGCGACACACCCGCGACCTACCCGCGGCCCACCCCGCGACCCACCTGCGATCCACCCGCGACCCACCCCGCGACCCACCCGCGACCCACCCGCGACCGATCCACATTGGTTCGAAGAAAAGATCGGCGCCTGCGGCGGGCTCATATTGTATAATTTGTGGAACGTTGGCGCCTGCGGCGGGCTTCTCCAGAGTCTCGCAGACTGGGGCATCCTAGTATTCTAAGGGCTGGGACCCAAATTTCTCAAATTTCCTGAGCGCTCCCGCGCGCTCCTGGGATGCCTCGCGCGACTTTTCCAAAGAGACCAGAGGGCCCCAAGACGGGCCAAGAGGACCCCCCCAAATCGCCCAAGAGGGTCCAAGAGTCTTCCAAGACAGTCCAAGAGCGCTGCAAGACGCCCATCAAGAAAGCCATACGACTGCCCAAGAGGCCACCAAAAACACCAAGAGCGCTCCAAGAGGATCTCCAAGAGGACCCAAAGAGGCACAACTCCTTGGGTATCCTTGTGTGTTTCGATGTTTCCCGCGTTCTCGCGATGATCCCCGGCTCCGCGCCTCGCGTCCTAAACAAAAATCGGCATAACCGATGACAGATCCAAAAGGCATATATATATATATATACACACACAGATAGATACACACATAACGGGGGCCAGGCCCTCTTGTGGGGGGCCGGGATTGTTCCTGAGAGCCACAGGACAGCCGTCACGGCGGCCCAAGACGGCCGAGTCACCCCCACGACGCCCTCCAGGGTTCTCCGACGGCCCAAGATGCGTCTCAAACGGCCCAAGAGGTGTCCACGACGCTTCCAGACCGCTCCAGGAGGACCCTCCCCCGAGGGCCCCGAAAAGCGAAAGTCGTACCAGTCCTTTCAGGAAGCCTACACTTGTAACACATGTGCCTGTCTGTTTTCAACACGGTCCAAGACGACCCCAGAGGTCCCAAACATTGTCCTGAGACTGCCCAAAAGCCCCCCAAGAGGGCCTCTAGACTACCGAAGAGGGTCCCAAGATAGAACAAGAAGCCCCGAGGGCGCCAAGATGGGCCCAAGAAGAGGGGGACCTCCTCTTCCTCTTCAACTTTCCCCTCCTCCTCCTCCTCCGCCTCCTCCGCCTCCTCCTCCTCCGCCTCCTCTTCCTCCGCCTCCGCCTCCTCCTCCTCCTCCTCCTCCTCCTCCTCCTCCTCCTCCTCCTCCACCCTCTCCTACCTTTGGCAGCGGTGGACAATCGGCCCATCACAAGCTCGTCGCCCTCTGAGGCCCAAGAGCCGCCCAGGATGCCGCCCTCGGCGGCTGGCGCGACGCGCTTGGCACCGCCCACACAGCCGGGTGACGGCTGAGGAGGCGAAGCCGCCCAAAGAGAAGACTGGAGGCCTCGTCGTGATCTGTGCCACGTCGCGCTTCGCGCAACCCGCTTCGCGCGTCGCGGAGCACTTCGCGCTCTCGCGCCGCCCCCCTGAGGACGAAGAAGCACACCAAAAGAGAACGAGGAATCGCAAACCGCGAGCCGC